CATTGGTGCGGTGTGTTTCAGCGTGTGACAGGTCATCTTTGTACCGGCGGAGTGTAACCTCTCAGTTTCTGCTAAACCTTCAGGATGCACGCAGGCTTCTCCCTCCTCCATCTGCTGGTCTCTATGAAGTCTGCTGCTGATCACAGGAGCTTTGACTGCAGCTTCTGTCTCTACCACACTGCAGACATACCTAACCCCTGAGCCACATCATTAACAAACAGCCAAATAAAATGACACGTCTGAAAACGGCAACATCCTTTTTGCTTTTTGAGAGTTTTAAGACACGTTTTTAGTCTCTCTCTGCAGGAATTTTGTGTATTGCTCCCTAATTTTGAATGTATGAGGGGAAAGAAAAAACATGCTTGAATAAAGATTTTATGATGTAGCTATTTACATTGCCCTATAAAACTTTGTAAGAAATCTTAAATTAAATTAATATCTTATTGCCGGAGCACAACCTAGCAGATTTACTTCATTTCAGCTTTTATTTGAGCACATTTATCCAATCAGAAAAAAATAATGAAATCATGTACACCACATTTTTGGCACTCTTGCTGTTAATACTTTGCAGAAACCCGTTTGCCAATGATCTGCTGAGGCTTTGGACGACTCAGCAGCAGGAAGGCTCAGATTGAATTGTTATATTTAATTACAAGACGAGGAGGCCTGAGCAAACCAGCTAAACATGAGGATGCTGCTCAGAAAATAAACACATTGGGACAACACGAGTGATCATTTTATCAAATTTAGAAATAATTCAGATAAAGTTTTTGCAGTTATCCAACTCAATTCATTCCTTGCTAATTTCTCCAGATACATCTTTCAGACATATTTTGCCTTCCTTTCTTGTTTTTCTCTTTCTAAATGACACGAATGACATCATGTGACATTTTAAATGGATCCTGCTGAACTGCATGCTGATGTTTTCCTACACTGAATAAAGTTTTATGTAAACCTGTGTGTCCTATCTGTTTTTTCTCCTGTAAAACCAACAAAAAGTGGAACAAACTGGACATCTCTTCTCTTAATCCCTTGACTTGATCTTTCTTGCGTCTTTCTCTGTTCCCCCTTATGATCTGGGATGCAAATAAACATCTATCTCAAAGTATTTCTTCCTGTTCAGCAAGCTTCAACAAAATAAACAGACAAAAAAGAAACACTACGTTATGAGAAGTATTCGAAGTTGTGATCCAAACTTGAAATAATGTTCCACAATGTTCCCAGGCATTCTAAACAAATTGGATTTTATCCTTGATTTTAAGGAACTTTGTGTTTCAGACGGCGAATAGAAAGACAGAGTAGAACGACTTGAGGACACTTTCAGAGATTTCAATCTGTCTGAGCTGGTCTAGAGGGATGATGTGGTCAAGGTCCAGTCAGACCGGTTCTGAAGGTTCGTTCTGATCCATTTTACCTGAAGGTTTTTAAAATCCTTAGTGGTGTAGCGTCTGTGCTATGATTAGGAGTTAAACCAGACTGCTGTTTTTCCTGAAGCATGTCAAGGTTTAAATTAGAGTTTAATTGATCAGGAATAAGATTCTGTGAAACTGTTTTTTACAGGGTAACATTAAGATGCTGCTCAGCTCTCTAACAGTAAAACCTCTGTTACCATCCTCATTACTCACTTTTACATTTTATTGATATTCTTTTACATGTATATAGGGTTTTTTGTTCTGTTTGAAATCATGCTACTGAAATAAAAAATGGCCTTTTCCACATGTTCAACAGGGGCAACTGTAAATCTGGAGGGTCATTTTGGTCCTCCTATGATGGCAATTTGATCAGCAGATGTTTTCAAATATGCTTTTGTAGATAAAAAAAGGTTGAAAGTGTTTGCATTTTACTAAATTCATTGTGAAAAACCCAAAGTATGAATGAGAGAGGTGTAACACGTCGGAGGTAAATGGCACGTTTTACAGTAAAATGTCTGAAGTGCCTGGATGAACTCTACGATTACATCGTTGCTGTTTCCCCCGAAGGAAAAACCTGTTCTCACCTGGTTACCTGGAAGCGACACCAGAAAGTTTGAAAAGGAACGGAGTGAAGCAGATGACGATACTTTTCATGCTAAAAATGATACCCAAATCAAACAGAAACCCTTTTTGTTAAATAAGGAATATCTGCAAAAAGAACACAAAAAGTTTGCCATTGGCTCAAAGCGGCAGATCAGTGCAGTGAGCCACTTTTAGCACAATGGAAATTCAACACGATTATTAAACAGTTTTCCACCAAATAGGCGTGGAGGCACGTGTGTTGAAGCAGAGGATTTCTGGGTGCAGCTCCCCTGTGCAGGCTCATGCATTACTTTTCATCCATCCATCTAATTATTCCCTTAGAAACCTGAAATTTGAAGATACAAAAGACCGTCCCTATCTGTCACCGAGCTGCATTGATCTCGTCGAAAGAAAATGTGGGCGTAGAGGAAACTCAATATAACTCATGCCATTAAATTCCACACAGCATTATTCACATACAGAATTGACAGATTTCCGTGAGAAGTTTCTTTTAATCTTCAACTGTTGTTGGAGAAAAACGGGGGTGGGATGGTGGGGTGTACCACACTCCAGGCATCTCTCCCTTTTCCATATTTGCAGTAAGGTTAACAAAAACGGCGACTGAAGTGGGAAAGATAAAAAAAAAACAAAAAACAAAAAAAACACAAGCACGCATAACTTGTTGATTATTAACAACGGGGAATGAGAGGAAGAAAGAGGTATTTCCAGTGTTTAGATTGTCACTCTGAAATCAGCATCTAAGCAAAAGAAGCCATTTGGAAACAGCTGCTGCACTTCCTGTCCATGCAAGCAAATATGCAAAAACACTTCTTCCAAAATGTTACTCTCAAAATTCACAAATTAGAAGCTGCACCTCATGCTCATCATGTCTATCACAACTATAGAATAAAATAGTTTTTATTACATTCCCCCTCAACATGTTTTCTCCTCATATACATTTTATCAGTGAAAACATTTATCAGTAGATACTATTTTTCTTTGTTATGGTCTTTTTACTTTACGTCATTCTATATGACATATCTGAGGTTATTTTGTATCTTTAAACAGAGTAAATAATCACAGGAAGTTTCACCTGTTTTGTTTTTCTTTAGCTGTTGATGGGGCTTGTTGGACCTGAAAGGTGCATGTGTAAAGTTTTCTGCATCATTTATTTGAGTGATATTTTTAAAAATGTTTAAAGCCAGGCTGCCCTCTTTCTGATTCTCACCAGTTTCATTTTCTCCTGGCAAGTACTCTCGCTGCTCCTCATCTTCACTACTTAATTCCACCTCATCTTCACCATGTTCAACTCAAAGTACGATTTTTGTCCTCTTCTTTCTAAGATGTTTATCTGTCAATAGAGGAAAATATGAGGAAAATATGATCTAATTCAAATGTTCAAATGTTCACTGCGACAGAGAATTATATCCTGCAGATTTTGGTAACAGCCTGAAGTTTTCTTCACTGCACAAAGCATCAAATATATGTTTGTTAAACTGCAGAAAATCAAGTCAAAGTAAATGTGAACAGCATGCGCCTGAAATACATATTTAAGTTTGCCGCCAGACATTTAGCAAACACATAAAACATGTTGAAGAAGGTGCTATGTTCTGATGAGATCAAAATACAACTTTTGGCTTCATGCTAAATTATGGATTTTTGGAAAACTAAAACTGCACATCATCCTGACCAACACACTTCCACTGTGAGACATGGTGGTGGCAGCATGATGCTGTGGGATGCGAGGCTTTGTCATGGATAGAGAAGCTGATCATGAATGATGAGAACAGAAGGACAAACAGAACAATCCTGGAATAAAATGTCTTTAACCAGCTGGACAACAAACCTAAACATTCAGCCACAGCTACAGAAATGTGGCTTCGATCAAAGCTGGTTTATGTGATGGACTGGTTGGATTTTAATCTAATTAATCATTGTCAGCGGAGCTAAAAAATTGAAGTTTGTTTGTTTTCTTCTCCCAATCTGACTAAACTTGATCTGATTTGCAAAGAATTAAATCTAATTCCAAAAAACTCCACTGATCCCAAGGGTGAATAAAATGTCATAGTATATTGTATAGTTTTCTTCAAAACGTTGTTGGACAGCTCACTTTATGCAAGCCACACTTTTCAGATTTCTGCTTGTAAATGATTCTGAATACAAACTATTCTTATGTTTTAAAATGATGCTTCCAGTTTGTGTCAGTCCATCATGCAAGACACCATAAAAGATATTGAGGTTTGTATCTGTAAAGTCAAAAATTGTGAATGGCTTAAAAAATTAAAGACTATTCCAGTCACGCAGCAAAAGTTTGTTTTGGTTTGTTTTATTACTTAGTTTTCTTTCTGTGGAATAATTTGTTGTAAAGATGATGTTATTTTATTGTAAACTTCATAATTAAATGGGCATAAAATGATCTGATTTTGATTTGTTTGATTGTTTTAGTGAAGTATTTCCAAACTATGTGTTTGTTATTGTGAATTTTTATTATAGTTTACTCCAACAAGAAAAACTTTTAGATTCTCTTCTTGTATTTTGGCCGGTCTGAAAGTGAAATTCAGATTTGACAGTATAGAGCAGTGGTGTTCAAACATTTCACCTCATGGGCCAAAAAGATGTTAATTCTTTAAAATTTTATTTAACCAACACAGATTAAAACTACATGGGTAATGAAACAAATAAAGCAGTACTTTTTAGGGAAATTAAAGTGGATCTAAATGGGTTCGATTTTTGTTTTCCAGAAAATTCCCAGAAGGTGAAGGAAACATTTAAAGTTAAGTTTTTTATCCTATTTTTATCCTAGTTTATATTGAGCCACACATTTTCCATTTGAAGATTTCAGTAAAGGACAAAGAAAAAACAGTTTCCATCAGATGTGTAGCATTCCTGAATTGTGTTTTGGGGGCACACAATATGAGTCCACGGGCCGCAGCAGGCCCCCGGACCGCATCTTGGACACTCCCGAGTTAGAGTGTCTGTGTTGAATCTCGCGGTATTTGACAGCCGCCTTGCGGGAATGCCGCGTTGTTTACACGGAGCGGCAGCGAGCGGATGAGGGGGGCCTTCTGACTGGAATCACGTCTCCACTGACTCCACGGCACCGCCAGGCTCTGTGGGGGGAAGAGAAAACTTTTTGTAGGACAGGCAAAGTGCCCCGCAAGAACAGAGGCCCGCCGAGTTCACTGGTTTGTTGCGACCTTGGACAGAAACGGGGAAAGTCACAACAAAGACGAGCGCCATAATAACCATCGGAGGAAACTTAACGTGAGGGAGGAATAGCTTAGCAACCGAGTCCCACTTCCTGGTAAGTACTGACACCGTCCACTCCTGGAGCGCAAGCACCGCTATTTAACGTGTTGGAAACTGTTGTCACTTGTTTAGCAGGGATGTTGAGGATTTGTAGCAATTACTAATGTTTAACCAACCTTAGTTTGTTTGCTTTAACTCGAGTTTGACGCTTGAGAAAAAAGTTCTACGAAGTTCGCTAGTTAGCTTTGCCTGTTAGCCAACTAGCATGCTACTTCTTAAACTTTTCCTGTTATTCACACAGCTGACACGCTCAGGGAAGGTTAATAAAAACCTTATAAAGACACACGTTAGGCTGTTATGGGTGTTGTAGGTGACTTTTACAAAACGTTTGCTCTCTGCTCATCAGGAGAAAGCCGTGCAGGCAAGCATGTGATGGACGTATGACAGCGGCTGCTACTGTTACTGTTATGTTCTCAAGTACAAAGGGGAAAAAACTACATAAAGTAGTTTTTACTTTTTAAATGCGATGTGGATTTGGATATATATCCATATATTTGACCTTCTTGAAAGCGTGTCATTGTCATTTTTTGTTTATTGTTTCAAAGTAAGGTTTTAGTTCATCATGCCTGGTTTAATAGGTTTCTCAGCAATATTTTTGGACAGTTATATTTCCAAACACATGGACATCAAGCTAGTGTGTGTTGTTTAAAATGAAAAAGAAAATGGCAATGCAGTTCCTCAATTTACATCGAAACTTGCAAGAAGTTGAGAGTAATAATTATAGTACTGATGATGATAATAATAGGGGCTGCGCAGATGGTACCACTGGTCCCTTGCAGCAAGAAGGTTCTGTGCCCTGAAGTTTGCATGTTCTTTCTCTTCTCTCTCTCTCTGTGTTTTCTTTGGGTACTCTGTCTGAACTGCCAGACTGGTTGTTTAAATGTTGGAATGACTAGCTTGTTTTTTGTAGGTACCAACATGTGATGACATATTAGGTGAGCAATAATTCAATTCAGAGTAATAAAAGAAGGAAGTAGCGGAGTGAGGACGAGTTGTCAAGTTTGTTCTCTAGCAGCCAAAACCCACAACTACAGAGATTGAACAAGATATTGTAGAATAAGGCATGAGAGCAATAAAGTTTATTGTTCTTGAACAATGCCAACATTATCCTTCCGTTAGATTGAACTTTCTTTATTCATCATCTATGAAGTCGACAAAGAAACTTCATTTTCCAAAACTGCAATCTGTGACGTTAAAGAGCAGCAACCTTATCTCTAGTTTGTCTAAGTTTTGCACGTTCTTTGACTGTGGTGTTACTTCATGTGCTGCTTTTCCAACATTGCATGGCAGAACATGAAGGTTTGCATTGAAGTTCTGGACCGGGAGGCTCATACAGAAAATATATAAGCGGGTCAAACTCATGAGATGATAAATGTTTTGTTCCACAGCAGTTACACTGACTAAGCGTTCACTTTACATGTGTCTATAAATGTTTTATTAATAGAATCAATAGATGATCCCCAGTTAACCAGCAAATCTGATATGTGATCAAAACATGAAGCAGGACTTGAGTTGTTGAGACTGTAGTTTTATTGTAAGAATCTTTTCCAATATCTTGAAAGCCAGGCTGCATGTATACCTTGTAATCATTTATCGGTTAACTTAACTTAAACTAACAAAAAGCATCAGTTATTTTCCATCTTCCGGCTCCATCTCTATTAGGCCTAAAGTTTAGCTGAAAATTAACAGACTCCAATTAAATGTTGCTGTCGCTGCTCATCACAGTAAAAAGATTGAAGGCGTCGCATGTTTTTCTGCAGCTACAGAAGGGATGATTCAAACGGGAGTTAGTGGAAGCTGACATACCTTGTTGACCCAATTATTACTCACTCCTCTGTTGCCACATTTGATCATCATCAGAAACAACAGGCTTGAGTCTGCCGGCGTCGTTAGGTGATTGAGATGAACGCCGGCTGCCTCTGTGAAGTCGCATCATCAAGGAATGTGTCATAAACCGGATGATCAGAAAAATGGCTGACAAATGTTTGCATCAGTCTCTGTGGTGAAAGGATTTCTGTCACCATGTCTCCCTTTGAGTTTTAGCTAATGGCAGGTGGATTACATCTGACAGGCTTTTGCAACACAAGATGATTATCCATTGTCTGCTGTTTGGATTTGCAAGGTGGATGTGTGATATTAAATTAAGTCGGATCTGTTTGAATTAAAACAAAAAAAAAAAGAGTTACTTCTAGTAACTCATTTTATTTTAAAAAATGAAAGGAAACAGATAAAAGCCATCACCTTACTTGAAAAGTTGGCATTTCCTGTGACTGCCTTCAACATTTATTTCATTTGATTAATCTTCAGTTTTAATTGTACAAATTAATTTTCTCTCCAAAAATAATACAAGTTTTTGATAAAGTTTCAACTCTATTGTATATTATTAAATAAGATAAATGCATAAAGTGTAATAGATTGTAAAAGATCTACTTTTTGAACTTACAAGTCAACAAAACATTAAAAAAAAACTAAAACATTTACCTGAGTTTAGTCAGTGTAATGTAAGAATAATTATCTATTTCTTTCATATAAATATAATTGGAATATAATAACTATTAACTAACTTGCATAACCAAATTATGAGTTAGATATTAATATAATCTTCAGAAATAAAATCAAATATATTGGCTCAGTTTGCTCAAATGTTCTCTAAAGATTAAACACTTCTCAGATAGAAAGCATGTTTAATTTCAGAGATTTCTCCTGGGTGTCATTTCTTCGTAGTATTTGTTTTGCTGTTGTTCACAATTAACACTTACAGATTATTGAAGTACTTGCTTACTTTGGACGGCCTCAACCTTTGAGAATTTGAGAAAACATCTTCCATAGCATCAATAATTTGGCAGTGAAGACAACTTTTGTTTTGAAACTTGCGCTCAAACTAAATACATCAATGTTGATGGATTATTGTAGCCATTCATCATCTTAGATTATTTAGACAAGTCATGATATCAAGTCCTTATGCAGACACTTCGTTTTAAACACATTGAAAAAATTTACTCAAATTGTCTGTTATGTTTTGGTGATTGTGTGTTGAAAGGCATATTTACAAATCTGAGTGTCCGAAACAGAAGGTGAGTGTGATTTTTGATTTGCTATCAAATTCTGAAATTTCTCTACTAAAACTCTATGCTGTCGTGCACAGATATTGTATTAAGTCAGAGAAATTATTTAGCGTAGAGGAATTTACCAAATCACTCAGTCTTGTGAAAGTTTCCTGTTTTAGCCCTGAAGCTGGCCCCTTGACGGGATTAAAGATCAGATGAGACATTTGTCATCTGACCACATTTAACAGTCATCTTGCCTTTGGGTTTTCACGGAGCACAACAACAAAAAAATGTTGCTCTCTTTTTCTTTTTGCAAAACGTATTTGAAGGAAGATGCTTCCTGAGGCCTTTTTTAGCTACATTAAACACTGTCGTTTGCATGATGTGAAAGACCTCGGTAAAGCTTTTTTATACCAGGAAAAAATGTAGCTGAGATCACTCCTCGGATTGATTTAAGATGCAGGGTTTATGGTTGTTTGGTGCATTAGAAGCAAGTGAATAATTGAAGCAATATGAGAAAAGATGTGAATAAAATAAAACGGACACTAATAAATAGGAAAAAAATAGTCTTTCCATCACCAACTCTATTTGGTTAGAGTTTACAGGAAGGTCTTTGGCAAAGAATGTGGGTTGTCTTAGCAGCTTCTTGTACTCCTTTCAAACAGCCAGCCTGTCAATATTTTTCATATCCATCTCCCTTTATTATATGCAGGGTCACTGACGGTTCAAGCATCCAAATATCCTAGGACGATGCCTCGGAGCTCCTCGTGTCACGTGAATGGTGCTAACTTAAGTCTGGCATTGCTGCTTCTTCTCATCAGGCCCTCAGGAAAACAAACCACAAAGACATGCAAACACAAAAATTACTGACCTCAGACCTGTTTCAAAGTCGAACGAAACGCTTTCAGTGCCCCTTGTTCTGCTTTTGTTATGACCGAACAGTGTCAGCGCTCTTTATTCTACAGCAAAGGACTTGGGTTTTGTTTGTTTTGTTCACACCTTTTTGACAAGATTGCCCTTGTTTTTGGCTCGTAAGTCCTACTTTATTTAAAGTATCTATTTATATTCATAGAGTCACCTGCAAACTACAAAGTGATAGCTATGTTAAGACATAAATAGCACATTTTAGCTTACAGGAAATTACACATAAATAAATGGTTTCATTACTGATATTTCCTTTATAAAACTAAATGTGTTCTTCACTTAAGCATTAGATAAAGTGGCATATTTGATGGCAATTTAAATTTTTATTTATGTAAATAAAACATTGGTGTCAGTTGGTTTCATAATCTGTCAGAAATAATTTAACAATTTTACCTTCGCACCTACCTAGGGAATGTTTCATTCACATTTAATTAAAAGTGGTTCAATATTCTTTAGCAAATCATACTATGTTTCATTTCCTTCTGATGTATGGAAGCAAAAGAAGCCTGAAACAATTGATCGAAGTTATAAACAGACACTACTGGCAATTAAGACTTACTAAGAACTTAAAAGTTAAATTCTATTTTAAGCTGAGCAAAGTTTTACTTCTTTCTGGACAGATTAGCTTCTCAGACCATAACATCAGCAGAAGAAGCAGAATCTTTTACTTTGAAGGCCAGAATGTTTTAGTTTTACATTTCAGAAAACCATTCTGGTCTTCTTCGCCTGTGGTTTCTATTGTCTTACTCTTAGCACAACATCAGTTGTCCAGTCCTGAATGTTGAGGGCGCTAGGAGCCGCATCCGCCTGCAAATAGCTAAAATTAGCAAATACTTGAGACCCTCTTTAAAAATGCTTCTATTTTAATAGTTTAAGCATCAAATATGCATTAATACACACAATATAAGCGAGCTTGGCACTACCTCAGAAGCCATCATCCACTGTCGTTCTTGTTTCTCTTATTCAGAGTGCAGCCAATCACCACCAACTAAGCTGAATGGCTCTCCTGGATTGGATGCAAACA